CTACTACACGCGCCTGGCCGGTGTGAGATGGCGCGATGCTCCTTTAGTAAACGAAATACTACTACTACATTCTAGGCTAGTACTTCATTACTAGTTTAGTAACCGACCAGGCTGGCTCCCGACTGTTACACGTCGATTGAGGACGTAGCGTTGTAGGTCGAGGACCTCACGCCATAGTGTATGGTTTAAGCAAGAATGGGAACTCTGCTCGGCGTATATTAGAATTATTACTAGTACTAGTAGTAGTAGTTTAGTGAATCGGGAATCGCCGCTTGAGAATTTCATAAGTGCGATTTTCGCACGTTTCCCTTAATCGATCGCCTATAATCGATTATATGCGGATAATTTGCGGTTAATAATTAGCATTTAGCATTTAATTGTAATCTTACTTTTGTTATATTATATATTTACATTGTCATACATTAGCATTTCAATTTTTATCATGTTTTTATGTATCATGTATTTTTAATTCTGTGAAGGCTCCTGCTGTTATGATATCATCAATTGGTCCTGTTCCTATACAGTATTTAATCAATTTTAAAAGAATATGCGTTTATAATGCCTATTATTTCGAGACATTAATAAGGACTCTGTAGCAATTTAACTTAGTGTAGAGTGTTATCGTCTTAGCATTAACATTAGCATTAACTTTACGATGATGTTTCTGCACAGCACCGGGCCCCTGCAGCTGACTTAATTGCTGCCTCTACTTGGTCATATAAAATTCAGCACATCGGGTGCATGTACAGTTTTCCTATCGTTTGTTTGTTTTGGTTATTTTCCGGATTAAATCTATATTTGTTTTTCATAGATCGCACTCGCATTTTCGATTATAATCGATCATCTGGGAGCATCACTCAGTAGTAGTACTATAGGGGTAGTACTAGTACTGATGTAGTATTTACTATTTAGTAATAGCTATCTAGCTATTCACTATCTGTATTTAGTTAAAACAAAAATGTGGTTTATTTTAATGAGGCCTACTATCTTTTTTTATAAAGTTTGTTAGGCTGCTGCTTCACACGTGGACGTTTTGCGCCTCGGAGCCTAATTAGCCGCCCGCTGGCAGATTTCCCGGTCCATCGTAAAAACGTCTGCGACCAGGCCCGATTCCAAATTTTAACCACCAGCTTTCGTGCGAGTTGGTATTAGAAGCGGGTAGAATCGGTGACGGTAGGATTGCGCGAGTGATCGAACGTGCTACTTGCGGACGAAATAAAGTCCAAAACAGTATAAAAATTCGAAAAATTTGATCAGGATGCACGTTTTCAAGATTGATAATTAAACGTAAATAAACGTAAACGGAACGTAAGTAAACACTCTGAATCGTAAACAACGCCATCTCGCGACATACTGCCAAAGTATCTGTGAGATATTTGTGCAATAAAATTTATTTGAATTTGAATTTGAATTTGACAGACAGTATTCACTTGCGTACGTGTGAACGCTCCGACTGAAACCGGCCCGAGCCAAATTTGGCCCGAGCCAAATCTAGCCCATTTGGCTCGAGCCAAACCATGACCGTGTGAACGCGACTTTTATTTCAACTAGCGCCTCCCGTTGGCATAATCATCAGTATGTTTATGGTGGCCAATATAGCGTAGAAATAGAAGTAGAAGTATTTTTTATCCAAGTACCTGTACTGTAGGGAAAGTACCAATCTTGGCGTCTACAGCCTACACAAGCTACGGGTATGCACGTACGTAGCTTGTTGTATAGGCGTATATAGTTATTGTTGTTGTCAGTCTCTCAGTCAGAGTATAGTCTAACAACAGTGAGTCTAACGCAATGGACGCTGACATATTGTTTTATTTACACGTTACCAGATTTGCATTACCGCCATCTGGCGTTAGATACGTTCTCCTAGTACTGAAACTTATTTTGAAGTGGCACAGATCATAGAAATCTTATTAACACCTTATCCCTTACACCTTATACCTTAAGATCTTATTATCTTATTATAATAGGATGTCTATGGCACAGATATCACACATTATCTATGATTATGAATGTTGTGTTGGCACAAATTTTTAGACAGATTCAATAAAAATTATTAAGAACCTTAGCTAGGAAATAAATATAATTTTAATAAAAAAGAAAAAGTAAAATTTTTATGACTTTATTATTTTACATGCAGGTTCAGCCCCAGTAATGATAATAAACTCCAATCTAAAAAATAAAACCGCCATTATACCAGATAAATTACTGAATAACGACAAAATTCCTACTACTGATATGACTGAAATATGCAACACGTTTAACTCTTTTTACCAAAAGGTGGGCCCTGAAATGGCTGCAAAAGTACCAATTGCTACTGAGGATTACTCTAAATATCTTTCTCTCCCCAATCATAGAAGTTTCTTTGTCTGTGACGAAATACTAGATATACTAAAAAACCTAGATATTCATAAAGCATCAGGACCTGATAACATTCCAATTAAATTTATTAAAATATCTAAAACTCATGTTGCCCCAATTTTATGTGATATATACAATGACTGCCTA